TCAGAGATTGCAGTGAGATTGCGGAGATTGCCGAGATTTCTGCCTGGAGGGGTGGGGAAGGAACAATGTATACCACATTTATGTTTCAAATATTTTATTTTGCTTTATTTCACAATTATTCTCATCTTGGTTAAATTAGAAGTTAGGATAATTGAGGCTCTATTAAAAGCATTTTCTTTAAATGTTATTCTCCTTATTTGCATTTGGCTTTTCTCAAATGCAAAGGAAAAAGATATCCAAATAGACAGTTTTTACAAATCCCTACTTATTTAATTACCTGTTCATATAAATATACATGCTATCGTATTTTTTTCCTCCCTGGGAATAACTCAAGGGCTACAATTAATCCCCTTAAATGTGAGTCCAATGTTTTAGAGAAAACATTGGAATCACTTCAGCATGTGGCACAGCACCTGCCTTAATGGTTTTTTTTTTTTTTTTTTTTGAGACGGAGTCTCGCTCTTGTTACCCAGGCTGGAGTGCAATGGCGCGATCTCGGCTCACCGCAACCTCCGCCTCCTGGGTTCAGGCAATTCTCCTGCCTCAGCCTCCTGAGTAGCTGGGATTACAGGCACGCGCCACCATGCCCAGCTAATTTTTTGTATTTTTAGTAGAGACGGGGTTTCACCATGTTGACCAGGATGGTCTCGATCTCTTGACCTCGTGATCCACCCGCCTCGGCCTCCCAAAGTGCTGGGATTACAGGCTTGAGCCACCGCGCCCGGCCTGCCTTAATGTTTTTAACATCATGTTGACTCCTTTCGCTCTTCCTGTCGAAGAAAATGTCTTCCTTGGAAAAGTGTGGTATCTAACCTATCCCTATAGTGCTTTAACCCTTGCTCTTTCAATTTGCATCTCTGGGCACAGCACTGGTTCCCAGACTTTGGGGCTGGGGGTGTGGGCGGCAGGTTTCTACTGGACAAAACCCAGGATAGACTCCATCCCTCACGTCTGAGATCCAGAGGCTGCCTGTCTAAGGCTGGGCTGCCCAGCCCTTTGGAAGAGTAGCTTGATGGAGCCTCCTCGAAATCAGGCAGGAGTACCCGCGACACGGCCTCCACAGGACAGACTCCAGCATCTCCGGGGTCGGTATCCGGAGGCCCGCCGCCCCGCCGCGCCCTGGAAAGGCTCCAAAATCTCTCGGCCTGGAGGCCCCGGGCGGCCTCTGCTCCCAAGCTGGGAGTCACAGCCACGCTGCAGCGGGCTTGATCCTCAGTGCTGGGTGGAAAAGCCGCGGCGGCAAACGCCGGGCCTGCAGCTGCTGGGTGCCAGCGTCGCCGGCTGGCGGGCGGCGGGTCCGGAACAGAGGACGCTAGCAACCCGCGCAGCGCCCAGCAGGGCCTTGGAGGGGTGGAGAGGTGCAGGCTGGGTTAGCGGAGCTGAGCGGACCGATCTGGTGTCCTCCCTGGCCACAGGCCTGCGGACCTTCTCCATTCCCCGGCCCAGGGCGAGAGCAGAGGAAGGGACAAACAGCGCCCCGAGAGTGGCGCGCGCTCTCCGCCACCCCCCGGGCCTTACCCCGGGTGAAAACCCGGCGTGTTGGGGCGAGGGCGGGGCTGCGGGGTGTACTCGGCTTGGGGTGGGAAGGACCCGCCAGGCCTTAGCCCTGAGCTATCCGACATCTGCTAACGCCGCGCTCCCTGCATCGCTGCTTGGCCCACAAGCCCTGCGCCGCTTGCCTGTAGCAGACACAACCCAGATCCCTTCCGGTCCTCAGGCCCTGCTATTTCAAGAATTCCAGAAAAAGAGTGCACCGGGGTGTGCGGGCCGGTGCAGCCGGGAAAACCGATGAAGCAGGCACGCACGGCCCGGATGCAAGCACATCTGTCCCCTCCCCCAAGGGTCTCCCCGGCTTTCTTGATCGCGTGGGTGGGGGTAGGGATCTAAATTTGTCTCCCAGATTTTCTCTGAAATCGAGTCTCTTGGGAGTGAAGGTCCATATGATTATAGCACGTCCATAGCAGTCGCGTTGTGTTCAAAATGGGCATGGGTGCTGGCGGCGCGGACACTGAGTTCCCCAGAGATGCGGAGTCCTTTGCCCCATGGCGCTTGTTTTTGTTTTCTCAGTGGAACAGGTCTTCGAATTTCCCCAGGAACATCTCAGTAAGTAGGGGTGTGCGTGTTTGCGTGTGTCAGTGTGTGTGTGTGTGTGTGTGTGTATAAATGGTTCCTATGAGCTGACAGTTTGGTATCTAAAGAACAAATGGACATAGGCACAGAAGTCATGACTTTTCTATTGGTAAGATTGAGATTTCTGAGATCTTCAAGAAAAGGTTGACCTGACACGGGATAGTATTTTCAATCATTCTCATTTAATTAAACAAACAAGCAAACAAACAAGCCTGTACTTCTGTAGAGATTCGTTGGATATTCTTGTTAGTATCTTAGATTACTTGGATGTTCTAAGTTGAATCTAAGCATGGATTTTCATAATAGAACCCTTGTCATATTGTATGTATTGCTATTGCAGGTCATTTCCCCACAAAACTGTAAGCTTCTTCAAGGCAGGAATAGTTCTTACTGGCCTCTGATTTGTCCCAAATCAACTAGTGCCTGCAAACATCATTACCCAATACAAGAGTGTTAATTACACCACTCACCCCCCAATCCTTACATTTCCTGTAGGCTCTAAATATTTCTATGTGTGTGCAAAGGAGAATAAATGGAGGATGTGGTGGCAGGGTTCACAGATACCAAATAAAAGACATGGCTGTCCATGCTGATGGATATTTACTAGATAGTAATAGTGCTCAGAATTAATTTGCTAGTCAAGTCTCCTTAGTTTTAGGGTTGTCATGTGCAAGAAGTAGGAATGACCTATATTCTCAGGCAATTCTGTTAAAAATCAATATTTGGATATAGATCTCTCCTACCCCCCAAGCCCCATTTTTTCTTTCTTTCTATAGATTAGGTGTGGTGTAAACCTAAACCATTATACTTGAAGTGGAAATGAGCTTGCTAACTCTGTGATAACCTTACTAGTCCTTGGATTTACTGGTACATTTAGCTAATCTCATATTTCCCTTTTTATATTTTTCACTGGAATCCTAAAATAACATAAACTGGTGAAACATGGTTTGGGTATCTAAAACACTTAGCTTGGAAAGTGAGCTGCAAATATTAAAAATTATTAGCTGCCTTAATTGTTGCTTTTTCAACTCATTGATACAATTATATCCCAGCCTTTGAATGTACTTCTCAGTCTCTTCCATGAGTAAACATCTGAAGATTAAATGTTTGAAGATTCTACCTTGTTAATATGTAATACTAACTGATACTGTTTTTCATAAGGGGTTTAGCTGTGCTTGGTCACCTTATATAATGCCGCTTTAAAAACATCACCATCACTGATAGGTTACAAAGCATTTCTTCTGGACAACATAGTATGTAAAACACTTTCAATTAAACACTAAAAATCTCTTGAAGAAGACACTGACCACAATGGGAATTATTTTTATTTTAGATGCTTGCACTAGAAAAATATACTTCACTTAGAGTAAATGAAAAGACTGGGCGTCTCATCAATATTATTGTTTCTGAATTTCTGTGGACCAATCAGTTGCAAGAGAGATAGGTCTTCTGTGTAATGCGTTAAAAGTCATAAAGTATTAGTTTTATTAAGAACTTTAGGGTTAAGCACTTGGATTTTTGTAGTATCTCTTCTACTCTTTTGTTCAAGTGCCAAGCATTAATTCCTTTCAGCTTGTAGGTAAAATGTGGTTCAGAATGCCACCTTTATTTGTAGAATTAGGAAAAAAATGCTGTATTTATAATAATTCTCGACAACCTTGTTTTATTTTAGCATCAATTTCCTCTCCTCCGTTATGATTTTTAATGGAGTCCTTACTTTTTTTTTTCTTGACCTACTTTCTTTCCACGAGCTTTCACATATAGCCTGTTTTCATTATTAGTGATTTCCGTAGAGTCTAGTATAGTCTAAATCACGATGAAACCGAGTAGTAATTGGTTAGCACTTATTCTATATGTTTTCGTGATTTAAAAATCATCTGGTCTGTTCATATTCTGACTTCTTTTAAATTATGTTTTTTATGAATTTGATCCGTTCTCCAGATAGGATTGAACCTCATTCTGCTCTGACCCAATTGTTCTTTTCCTTTGTTGCCTCCACCCCCTAGAGAATGTGTTTCCAGGGGACAGGCGTTCTTGGGGCTGAAGAGGAGGAGAGTCGAGTGAGACGAGATCTGGTACCTCACGCACTAGATCCCTCCTCTCTGGCCTGGTGAGAAGTCAGAGACAATTTTGACAGTTCATAGTCCTGCCTTGGCTCTCACGCTTGCGGTCCATGGGCGGGTTTTACCTTCTCTCTCTTCCTCTGCTTCTGGCCTGCTTACAGGCCAACCGCAAATGCAGCCATTGCCCGAGGCCACTCAGAACTCTCCCCGTGCCATCCTCTTGGGGAACAGGAGGATATGTCTGTAGAAGACTCCGGGGACTGGGGAGAGCCACGCAGGGATCGGGACGCCGGAGAGGGTCGCCCCTCCCTAGCCTTTTTCCCGTCGCGGCGCCCACGTGACCAAGAACAGGCCTTCCCCAGCCCGCCCCTTTCGGCCGCCGCTGCCCACTTCCCGCTCGGGGTAAGTAAACCGCGGTTTTCCGCACCGCCCCACCCCCGCCCTTCCCCTTTCCTCTTGCCTTCACCTCCCTCGGGCGCTCTCGCGCCACTCTCCCCACCTCCCCCATCTTCCCCATCGGGCCCTTTGTACGTGCTCGGCGGCGTGCGAGCACGCCCGGCACGTGACCCCGCCGAACGTGGCATTGTGTTATCACGTGACCCAGGTGCGTACGCGACGGAGCGGGGTGTGAAGATGGCGGACGAAGAGGCCGAGCAGGAGAGGTTGAGTCGCAGCGAAGGCGGCTGCGTTGCGGAGCTGCAGCGCCTGGGCGAACGGCTCCAAGAGCTGGAGCGACAGCTGCGGGAGAGCCGGGTACCGGCCGTAGAAGCGGCCACCGACTACTGTCAGCAGCTGTGCCAGGTGAGGGCGCGAGGGGGTCCCCTCCCCCTTCCCCCAGCTAGAGGGGGAAGAGGGCGAGCGAGCGCCAGGCGGCCGAGAGGTGGTAGCCGCTGCATTGGCATCGTCGGCGCCTCCACCCGGGTGGGAGCGGGAGTAGAAGGAAGGCGCCTTTGTGTGGCTGCAGTTGTGGCGGTTGTTGTCGTCTGCAGCTCCTGGCTGGGGGAAGGGAGTTGTGGTCAAGGCGGAAAATCCCCCCTCCCCTTTCCTTCCCCGAACTCGGGACTGCGCGGTCCCCGCCGCTGAGGAAATGTAGACTGTGCGGATTGGAGAGAGTAGGAGGAGAATGGAGGCCAGGTCCTCTTCTTCCTCCTCCTCTTATTGTGCACAGGGGATTACCGCGCTCCCGCCTCTGCGCCTCTGCTTCCCACTCCGACGGGCCTCCGCCCCCACTGGTTTGATTCCTTTGCCTTCCCTGCTTTCATGCGTCCCGCCCCCATCCCCGGCCCTGTCCTGGCTGTCTCCGGGCCTTTGTTGTTCGAGTTTCGCCTTAGGACTGAAGGGGCCTTTGTTGATGTTCCGAGGAGGAATCCCCGTCGACCCCTTCTAGTTGAGCGAGACGTTCGAGAGGGGGTGGTTGGCGGTGGTTGTCCCCTCATGCCCGTAATTGCTTGCTTGGTGCACCAGTTCCGTGGCAAAGCTCGATCTCCTTAGTGTAGAGGAGTTGTCCCTGTACATCTATCTCAGATTGCAGGTCCCTTTGGGGCGGGTTTTCCAGAGTCCTTTTCTCATTTGCTTTCACCCTTCGAGGAGTATGATTTCCACTATCCTTTCTCTCCCTATTACCGCCTCACCCCTGTTTCTTGGGGTAGTCCCTATTTGGCTTCCTGATGAAGTGGGAGAAGACTGAGGTTCCTGTGAATCTGTGCGTTGGGTAGTTTCAGATCTTTTCTTTGCTTGCCCAAGGACACTGCTTACCAGTGACTGCATTCTAACCAGAATTTGGAATGTTCTACTAACACTACTAATAATGAAAATCGTTTCATCCATGACGAGAATCGGAGAGTTTGGGTCTACATTTGGACTTCATTACGAGCCCTACAGTTGGGTTTGAAATTTCAAGGTGGTGGCGTTGGCTGTGGTGAAGATTTTGGTTGGATTGTCTTGAGGAGGAAAAAGACAATTTATGCAGGTCATATTTAGAGTTAACTTGTGAGTGTATCATTACAGAGAATTCGTTTGGAAAAATATTGACCTTAATGTAGAACAATGGTTGACCGTTTTAGCAGAGCAGATTACATTTTCACTTATTATTTAGCCTCCAAATTGAAGTCTTGTCTTTATAATGTCGGGGATACGTGATCACATACAAAACCTCTCTTGCTGTATGCACTTTATTGTCACAAATTATTTGATGGCTGTTCATAATCTTAAAAACAAAAACTGTGAGATCAAGTGGTGACTTGTCTAGGACGATGTGCAATGTGAAAGCTCCCCACTTACGTCTGGTGAATACCTGTGGCAAATTAGAGTCTTATTCCTTTGAATTCCAATATTAAAAAAAAAATTGTTGGAATTTCTCAGTTTCTCTGCTTTGCATTGCCCACTCATTCTTAATTGGCCTTTAAAGTTTTATTTTAGAGATTAAAAAAATTCTGTAAGATACCCATAATACGAAGTCTTTCAATTGTAAGTGGAGTAAGTATATAATACTCAGTGAAAAGTATTAAAGTCTAGCTTTGCTGAAAGACATTTTCCCCCTAATAGTGCCCACTGATAGTTTTAAAGCTAATTACTTAAATTCTCTTTGTCAGCAGCATTTATAAGCAAGGATTAATAATTCTGGGAAAGTAAAATCTCATGCAAGCTAGGCTCCGCCCCCCGCCCCCGCCGCCTTTTTGTACATGTGTGACGTTGTAAAGTTATCACTTAAAGTTATTTAATTTATTTGTTTATTTTGAGAGACAGAGTCTTGCTCTGTCACCCAGGCTGGAGTGCAGTGGTGTAATCACGGCTCACTGCAACCTAGTCTCTTGGGATCAAGAGATTCTCCTGCCTCAGCTTCCCAAGTAGCTGGGACAACAGGCATGAGCCACCACGCCTAGATAATTTTTGTATTTTTAGTAGAAATGGGGTTTGAGGTTTCCCTGTGTGTTGGCCGGGCTCGTCTGGAATTCCTGACCTCAAGTGATCCATCCACGTCTGCCTTCCGAAGTGCTGGGATTACAGGTGTAAGCCACCGCGCCCAGCCATATTTAAAGATTTTTTTAAAGACTGAAACAACATTTTAAAAATCAGAATGAAAGTAATTTCCTATATTGGCTACATAAAATAATTAATCTTACCACATAAATTGTTACTGATGTTACTAAAAAAAAAACAGTAATGAAACAAATGTTGAATTTGTGGATTTCAAAAATTAAAAAATATTTCATACACTGTAATCTCAACAGTAATTTAAATACACTTAAAAGTAATCTACATTTGAAAAGATACAGAGTGTGTCTGATTTCCTCTGGAACATTACTGGGGTAGGTTTTTTGTTTTTCAGGTAACCTGTTTATGTTAGTGATCTTGTCACATGGAGGTAACTTGAAATAGTTGTTTATTTATGTTTATGTAAAGGGGTCCAGGTGGCTTACGCCTGTAATCCCAGCAGTTTGGGAGGCCAAGTTGGGCCGGTCGCTTGAGCCCAGAAGGTTGAGATAAGCCTGGGCAACATAGCAAGGTCCCTTCTCCACAAAAAATACAAAAACAAAACAAAACAAAAAAAATTAGCCAGATGTAGTGGCTAGTGCCTGTAGTCCTAGCTCCTCAGGAGGCTGAAGTGTGAGGATCATTTGAACCCAGGAGGCAGAGGTTGCAGTGAGCAGAGATGGTGCACTGTGCACACTCCATCCTGGGTGACACAGAGTAAGATCCTGTCTCAAAAAAATAAAAGTAAAATTTTATCTTAGCAATTATTACCTAGCATTTTGATACGAAGTTGAGTGAAGCAGTGGTTAACAATTAGAGAATTTATTGTAGCAATCTAATTATAGTGCCAGGGATACTAGGTGCTAGAAATTATCTCTTGGTTTCTAACCTTGAGATTATTATTTAACTTTTTCTATTTAAGCTTTTCCTGTAAAACTGGGATAGTCACATGCTTCAAGAAGGCAAAGATGAATAGACGTTTGTCAAAGTTAATGGGCTTCGGAATTAATATTCTGTCAGTGTTGATGCTCAGTGCCTGTGTAACCCTTATTTTTTCATTTACTTTAAGAAATTGAATTAGTTTACATTCTGAATTTTTATCAGCAAAAGTTGAGTTTCTGGAGAATGTAGTGAAACCCACAGAAATAGGAGTTGCATATGATCCCTAGTTTATAGATTTTTATTTTTGAGTGAGATAAGAGATTAACAGATTTTTTTGAATTCTTAGGAGAATAGGAACGAAAGGCATTAACTGTTTTTCTTATTAATAGTGTCATTTTGCCCTTTGTATCAGCTTGCTTCCTAGAAATAAGCACTCCCCACCTTTTGCTATTTAAATGAGAATGTGCTTAAAGCTAAAGAGAGGATGGAAGAGTATGTAGAAGATGGGCATAATAGAGTGCCTGTCATAAATCTTAAATTTCCTATTTTATTTTTGAGATGAAGTCTCACTCTGTTGTCCAAGCTGGAGTGCAGTGGCGCACTCTTGGCTCGCCACAACCTCCACCTCCTGGGTTCAAACAGTTTTGCCTCAGCCTCCCAAGTATCTTGGATTACAGGTGTGTGCCACCACACCCAGCTATTTTTTGTATTTTTAAGTAGAATTGGGGTTTCACCATGTTGGTCAGGCTGGTCTCGAGCCCCTGATCTCATGATCCGCCCACCTCAGCCTCCCAAAGTGCAGGGATTACAGGCGTGAGCCACCGTGCCCAGTTTATTTTATTTTTTAGAGATGAGATGTTGCTACATTGCCCAGGTACAATCATAGCACACTACAACCTCAAAATCTTAGGCTCAAGTGATCCTCCTGTCTCAGCCTTCTTTTTTTTTTTTTTTTTTGAGACAGAGTTTTACTCTTGTTGCCCAGGCTGGAGTGCAATGGTATGATCTCAGCTAACTGTAACCTCCATCTCCCTGGTTCAAGCTGTTCTCCTGCCTCAGCCTCCCGAGTAGCTGAGATTATAGGTATGCATGTGCCACCATGCCCGGATAATTTTGTGTTTTTGGCAGAGATGGGGTTTCTCCATGTTGGTCAGGGTAGTCGCAAACTCCCAACCTCAAGTAATCCACCCACCTCTGCCTCCCAAAGTGCTGGGATTACCGGCACCTGGCCCTGTCTCAGCCTTATAAGTAGCTGAGACCTCAGGTATATGCAACCACGCCCAGCTCTTAATTTTCTTATATCTTTTCAAAGTTAGCTTTAATGTGGGCAGTATAACCAACTAATTTTCTTAAAATTGACTTAGAATATGAATATAGAATAACCAGAAGAAATTTCTTGCATTTACTTGTTTTTGGATTATTACTATATTTATTATATAAAAATTGGTTATAATTGAAACCCTAGTTCCATAATTTGGACTAGTAAATTGTATTTGACTGGGCCAGTAGTCACTCATTCAATATTGCTATTCAATATCTACCGTATACAGGCTAGGCAAGCGTGATCATGGTCCCTGGCTTCAAGGAGTTTCTAGTCTCAGGAGGAAGGTAGACAGATAATTGTAGTAAACTATGACTTACGTCTTATGTTACTGAGATGAGTACAGTAAAGTGGAAGGTTATTTGAAAGTTTCTAAAGAAACATTCCAACAGAATAGTTATTCTAAAAAGATTTTAAAAATAGCTCATTGGAAAAATTGGCCATTGTAATAGTTGAATGGTTTGTTTAGGTATGATATTTGCTGATAGCAGTATCTACTGGACTGGTTGATTTTAACTGTTATTGATCATTGATAAATGATCTGCTGACTGACAACTGTTTTAAAGGGTTGAATTGCAGTTATGTGTGTATGTGTATACATACACATGTGTATATATGTGTGTATGTGTATACACACACGTGTATATATGTGTGTGTGCACGCAAGTTGTGTGTGTGTGTGTGTGTGTGTGTGTGTGCGCGCGCACGTGTGCGTGCACGCAAGGACCTAGTAAACGTTTAGATGTTAAAGAGGATATAAGATACAGGAGACTCTAGTAGTAGTATATATATGTGTGGGGGTGTGTATGCATCTGTATATATAATGTGTGTGTGTATATATACATATTTATATGTATAATTTCCTTAGTTCATATAAGCAGTGTTTCTCAACTGGGCGTAGTACTTTACCTACCTCCAGTTCTCTCTTCAAGGGCGCTTAGAAATATGTGGGCTCAGGTTTTTGGATGCTGCTTGACTGGGAATGTGATACTGGTATTTAGTGCCCATGACCCTGAATGCTAAATTTTCTAAAGTGATCAAGACAGTCCCAACAAATGAAAATGTAATCCTTCTTTCTAAATACCTACTGGGCCCTTTTCAGAAACATTGGACAGAAAGAAAAATAATATGTTTAGAAGATTTTTTTCTTTTTAGTCCTTACACTCTTTTCATATTGAGATAGTTAAGCTCCAGAAATATAGTTAATTTGGAACAGGTCCAGGTAAAGGATCTTCAACTATATTTAAGTATAATTTATACCTGTACTGCTTATGAGAGGTCAAGAAACTTTCTCCTTTTGTAGCAGAAATACAAGCAACTACTTAAACAGTTAGTAAAACAATTTGCTTTTACTAGATTAAAAAGGGTACTAAATTCAGCATAATTATCCTGATTAAAGCAAAGATTTGACATTTTGGTATAATAAATTCTGTACTTTTAAGAAAGCATTTATATGCAAGGACCTAGGTTTAGATGTTACGGGAGATATAAGATACAGGAGACTAGTGGGATATAAATTAGTAAGATGAGATTTAAATATCCCTTCAAAATGACAGCTGAAAAGATGTTAAAAGGCAGTGTATTAAATAACTGTAGGGGGTCTATGAACCCCACACATTGGGTGCCAGAATGTAGGGAATCCACGAGCCCCACATTGGGCACCAGAATGTAGGGAACCAGTTCTACATCACCTGTGGGTACCCCAAGTTTGGTGGCAACAAAGGAATGAGGAAAAGATTAAGAAAGACAGTGGGACCAGGGGGCCATCACTTTATTACTCTGGAGGAAACAGTGAAAGCCCCAAGCTCTGATCATCTACACTATTTATTAATTACAATTGCTTTGATCTATAGGGCAGGGGTGGAGTGATGGTGGATGAATCAGTGAGCCGGAACTGGTGCGTCATTCTAAGGATTGATAAGTGTCGGTTTGGGAGTTTCACAAAACAAGAACATGTGGTTATCTTTAGCTTATTATCTATGTACAGTTGATGGAACTCGGACCTTACAAGGAACCTACAAGTCTGGCTACGTCATAGTGCTACAAAGGGGTTTTACATCCTTGAGCACAATGTTTATGTTAATAGAGCCACGGTCACCCTGCACCAGAACATGAAGAATGGAGAGGCCTTCTTCCTCAGAGGCCTCCTGTGGCCTTCCACAGTTTTTTTTTCCTTGTTCATATGTTACTCATACCCAATTTATGTAGGCACTCTTTAAGTCCTTTCTCCTCTGCTGCTTTTCCTAACATATCCCCCTTTGTTTTTATCTAAAACCGCCATTGCTATCATTGTTTGTGGTGTCGGTTCTCTTCAAAGTCAGCTCCAACATTTGCAGACTAAGAACAAACAACATAAACAGACACAAACTAACACAGAGTTTGCAATGGTTGATTTACAGAGAGTTTTTATCCATCTTAATTAATGGGTTAATGTTGGAGAGGCTGTCAGCAACTCCAGCAAGAACATTTGTGCCAGGCAATAAAGTGTGAGCCTGAGATGTCTCAAAAATTTGCTTTTTTAGTCTAGCTATATCTAACGTTAAATGATCTACTTTTCCTTGTAAGTGACACTTAATCACTTCCCAATGGTGTTCAGTAGTGTTGTAAGAACTAGGAGTAATACAAAAATCAGAAGTGTTCCAGTCACATTGCATGTGCAGGCAGTGCTCAAAGCTCATGTTACGATCCCATTCAGACGACCGTCTGTCACAAATCATTGATTTGATTTGCCAATTTTTGATCTGTTTGACTTTGGGAATTCCAAAGCTTTGAGGAATTTTTTTTGCCAATTATCTACAAAGCTGGCAGTAGAATGCAAAGCAACACCAGCT